CGTCCCAAAAAATTTGCAGAGATGCTACGGTAAGCGTCGTGTACGTATCTTTAAACAGACACTGTATGTTCCCTTCTTTCGATACTCATTAGTGTCAGAATCAAGAATGGATGATTTTGGAGTAAGGATAGTGATGGAAAAGGGAAAGAGATTGTTTAAAAAGGAAGGGACAATATTCATGATAGCAGATAAGAAAGAAGAACTATGGTATATAAGAATGAAAAAAGAAAGTATTATGATTTCCTTCTACAAAGAAAGGCATCAGGCTCTTGGATATCTGAAAGTAATTAAGGATTATTACAAGGATACTTCCTCCATTAATACCTCTCAATACTTCAATTGCAATACCTGCAATAACTATAAATCAACTTATAACGTACCAAAGACTATCAAAATTAGCACAAAATCACTGTTTGAAAAAGAGCATTCTGATTTGAGTAGTCATATGTTAGTACCTACTCTTGGCAAGAACAAGTACTCCATAACATTAGTCGACAATTATACCAAGTACTATTGAATATACTTACTGAAGCTTAAGGATAGGGCAGCTACAGAAATATAGATTTTTTGGGAACTGATAAATACACAATTCGGCAAAAGGATCAAATAACCATAAAGTGACTAAAGCACCAAATATGCCAACCAAAAAAATACCTAATCTTTTGAATCAAAAGGAATCATTCATACTACCTCTCCTGCTTATAACCCTGAATTGAACAGAGTTATATAAAAAATAAACAGAACTCTTACAATAATTGTACAGTGCATGATGCCAGGAGATCAAAAGGTTTTATGAGGGAAAGCCTACTCTACTGCTGCCTACCTATACAACAGACACTGACATTCAAAAATAAAAACAACACCTTTCAAGCAACTATATGGAATGAAACCCATGATAAATCACTTACATCCATAGTTCACGGATGCTTTGGTACACATTCTGGCTGAGAAAGGCAGAAAATTTGACCAAACATCTCAGAAAGGCTACCTGATTGGATACACTTCCAATCCCATAATATACTGAATCTACATACCAAAACAGCATACAGTAACTGAAATAAGAGACATAAAATTTACCAAAATAAAAGAGGTATCATTCAAATATTACCAACTACCAGTAGACAAAACAACAGAATCAGAGGATGAAAACACACCCAAAAACACAACTCAAAATACAGAACCTCTCTCATCAACCACAATCATGCCTGATGAATTTCAACAATCACCTGAACAAGAGAGACTATCCAAAATCCTTCAACAACCAGCATAGTCAAGACGATTATCAAGAGTTTACAAACCTACTGAGAAAGTCAAAGCCAATGCACAGCAAAGACTACAAGAGTTAAATGATAGAAATGACAAGTTTAAGAAAGCAGTTCGAGAAGCTCCACAAATCGTG